CCCTTGGCTCATATGTTCCATTGGGCTGGCCTCGACTGCAGGCTCTCATCCAGGATCTCGACATTGACAACATCTTGGCGGACAATGACTTTCTCACTGCATTGCAGGCACGCTGTGTCTTGTGTGGGCGCCTGTCGAGTAAACCTGGTGGGGTCCTGCAGCACCTTCAGCAAGAACATCAGGAACTGTTGAGCCTCTCACGGGATCTTAAAGACAGACTGCAAAACGAGGCTCTTGCTTCAGGTCGACAATGCAAATGTGGCAACAAATACACGAAGCGTGGACACAAATGCATGATCTATGCACAACTAGCAGTCCTGTATCACGCTCTTCAACCACGCTCTCAGGCACCGTCGGTCTCCGTGGACACGCAGATCCCGGCTCCTTCACTTCATGAGCCAGCTACCTTTTGGACGCGCGAATCCTGGCGTACCTGGCTCAGCACCACTTGCTGCGTTTGTCACATCAATGTAGAGTTGGACCAACTACATCAACACCTGCAACAAGTGCATGCTCATATGTATGAAGAAGCCCTTGGACACTTGGATCGATGCACTTCACCGAATCTTTTCTGCTGCAACTTTTGCTTGAAATCAGAAGAGATTGTAGACTGTCCGGTAGCTCTGAATCTTGCCTACCACATCCTCCTCAATGCCGCTGATCGAGTACGGAGTGGACGACATGATGGCTCAGATAGGGGGCACCTTCGGCTCCACGCTTCAGGAGGACGAAAGGCAGCCAGCCCACAACAGGTCAGATGGAAAACCAACACGGGACATCACAACCCTCCTCGGAACCCATCGTCCAGGCCCTGCAGCTCCTGACCACCTTGACATTGCGCCAGGAGGGCTACATCCAATCTCTTCAGACCTCGAAAGCCGGCTCCGAGATCTGGAAGGAGGGCATCACGCATCAGGTGATCACGGAACAGGGGTCGTGGCCCTATTTGGCGTGGCCAAGGAGAAACGCCTGGTCCCCATGGACAAGACCGCTCTTTCTATGCAACGTATGCAGAGCTTGATCGAGGAGATGGTGGAGTTAGCATCTCAGGGGGAATCAATCCTTCGGTTCAAGTCTCTCAAACCGGAGAGCAAAGACGGTGTGAAGTCACAGGTCAGCCCCTGGTTGCTACAATTGAGCCCCAGGAAAGAGCGCCTTCACGAGATCCTGACGCTTTTGACCGCTTCCTCCGTCTGGTGTCTAGTCATGGGTCGCGTCAGGCCCCACATCAATCGGGAGAATCATGCGGCAGCCCAGCTGATCAAGGTGTGCAACAGCCTGTCCAAGCGGAAGCCTTAGCGGGATGGTTGCAAATGGGGCAGCGCTATGTGGCAAGACTTTGGCCGTCTGTACCCGCTCATTGAGGAGCTCTTCACTCAAGAGAGTCTATGGATCAATCTCCAGCAGCTCAGCTGCTTGACACGTTCCTGTCGACCTGGGGGAACAGGCAACAGGACGCAGGGGAATTCCTTGCTGCCTTTCTTCGTTGGACAGCCTTTGTGTGTGCACCTCCACTGGAAAAGACGGGTGCAGATCGATCATGTGGTTGAGACCGCTGATGAGGGTTCAAGGTTCACACCACCGACCATCAGTGCTCCGGCCAATGTCAAAAAGATTGGCCTCCAACAGCTTGTGGACTCTTGGGCATCCTACATGGGGATGTCCACAGCGTTTGTGCACAGTGGCAGACTTGTGAATCTTCACCTCGACCGTTACTGCTCCGCGAACTCAGGTGATGTTCATCGACGTGATTGGGAATTGGACCTCCCGGATGTGGTGCTGTTGCCCGTTCAGGCAGAGGACTCACTCACCACTTGTGCCATCCCGTATGTGGTGATAGGAGGAATCCTGCGTAGGGGAGAGGATGCATCGGGCCATATTCAGGCCATTGGGCGGTCGAGGGAGGGCTGGTTTCTTTTCAATGACCGTGAGGAAGCCCGCTTTTTTCAAGATCCACCATTGCTCTCCAGCTGGGTCAGTGTTTGGATGGTGCGTGATGTTTGGACCCAGTTCATCGCCCCCAAGTTCTGGCAGTTCGGTCTGGATCACGCTACGGACCAGATGACCCTACACCTGGACACTGAGGGATTGGACTGGGATGCATTCCAGGGTGACTGGATCCAGCGGCTGAGGGCGCACTGCAGCATTTGTGGCCGTCTGACTCTCTCGCACCGCGCCTTGGCACATCACGTTCGCGCCAGACATCCTGAGTATGTGCCTGAGCTCCTGGAGGACACCAACCGCCAGCTGGACAAGCGCCTGAGCTCCTTGCGCTGCTTAGGTTGTGGGATGAAACCAACACCAGGAGCTAGCCTGCGCACCAGTCACTTGTGCATTGCTGAGCTCAACCTGCATCTTGGCCGAACATACACGCATCGAGAGCTCCGCACTCGAAGCGGCTCCTATGGGATTCGCGATACTCCCAACCTTGCATCTTGGCTTGAACGTAACTAGCTGAGCTTCTGGTGCTGGCATTTTGCTGCTGCTTTGGCTGGCGGCTGCTTGGCGCCTTGAGCTTCGCATGATTGTGGATGCAGCTGCAGCTGGGCTTGCTAGCTGCCGATGCTGCTGTGCCGACTGAGGATGGCTCCTGTAGGACCCCCTTTTTGCTGAGGTGCACAGGAAGCCTCTCCAGAGCAGTTGACGCGATTTCTTTTCGCTCCTGACTCTGAGGTTCTTGTTTTGATTTTGATTTGAAAGGACGAACGCTATAGCGGCTTTTTTCGCCCTTGGCTCATTCCTTTAATTTGTGAAGGTGTGTAGGCACCCCGGTGCAATGTTCCCATGAGAGGAACCGACAGAACCTGTCGCAGCCCCGCAGTTTTCGGATGTCCGAAGAGCGAATCAAACTCAAACTCACAAAGAACTATCTATCTATCTATCTCTCTCTCTCTGTCTGTCTGTCTGTCTGGCTGGCTGGCTGGCTGGCTGGCTGACTAGCTGTCTGTCTGTCTGTCTGTCTGTCTGTCTCTATCTATCTATCTATCTATCTATCTATCTATCTATCTATCTATCTCTCTCTGTCTGTCTGGCTGTCTGTCTGTCTGTCTGTCTATCTATCTATCTATCTATCAACTCACCCCCCAACACACATGAACTGAGACGTGCTAGACATCACTCATACAACCATGGACTCATCCACTCATCCACTCAACTCAAGTGGATCAACTTAGCACACAAGAAGCCACGCACACGACCAACAACTCACCACAGCAACCCATCTCACAGCTTTCAACTCCCTCTCCACAACACACTTCAAATCCACTCACATGTTCTCTACACGTGACTTTGTCTTTTTCTTCATCAGCTTGACGTCTGTGCCTATGGTAACGTACGGAAAACTACACTTGTGGGGTTGTCCGGTCCTTTGATTTTAAGCCCGCGAGCTCTGCAAATTTGGGGGTGGATGGGGTGTGGAGCATTGCAACATTTCATCACCATGTCTGTTCTTTGTGATTGGAATCGCTTTGCATCAACTTGTTTGACTTTCTGAACGCTTCCCTATGGCCATTTGTTTGAGTTTCGTGCAGTGTTGCACCATATGTATGCGGAGTCCCCTTAAAAAGACGATGCTGGAGCAGCGACACGCAACATGCGCAGTCATGCTTTATCATTTCACCCACGTGCAATTTGGATGTCAGGTCACAGCATGATTTACAATAAGTTTCGAAACGCCGCGCGTATACGTATACCGTATACGTGTTCATGTATTGGCCGAAAGGACATTGCCCCTTGATACTTTGCACTGGAAAGATAGGTGGAAACGATTGAACCAAGCTTCTCTTTCACCGGAACAAGCAATTATGATGTATATAGTTGTTCTTTAGCTGAGCGTCCAATCAACACTTAAGAAAAAGGGAGAGAACTTGGTTGAGCAAAAAGGCTGGTGTTCTCTCAGTCGTTAAATAGTTGCACACACACATATATATATATATTGTTTGTATTCCCACATGTATATATGCATCTATATCATCATTTTTTGAGTAAACTTGCAGCCTGGTAATGTTCAAAGTCAACGTGTCAATGGCAAATTTGAATGCCTGGCTTGGCATTTGATGGGGTTCAGGTGCATTCTGCTGCAGCACTGGGCGAATCTGCTGGATTCCAGGCTAAGCCATTTTGCAAGCCTGGTGCGGCAGAGAGCGCAGAGACTCCCTGAACCATTTTCAAGCTGTACCTTCCATCCGGCCGAATGAGCAAGCAAGGTTTCCACCCCCATGGCCACAGGACATTTTTGACTCTTTGGCTCTTCAAGAATTTGACAGGCGGGCGCCGTGAGCTGCTTGCGGGAGCTTTGGTCTGAGCCTTCAGATACTGACATGATCTCCAGCCCCAAACGTATGAAGACAGCGCACGTGCTCACACACAACAACAAAACGTTATATATATATATATGCGTATAATTGTATCAATTGCATATAGGCATATTATTTATGCACAAACAATGTGCATGTATATATATAGACGCATACATACATACATACATACATACATACATACATGCATACATACATACATACATACATACATACATACACACACACAGACATACATACATACATACATACATGTCGCAATACATACATACATACATACATACATACATACATATACACACACATCTCATTATCTCTCTCTCTCTCTCTCTCTCCCCCCCTCTCTTTGTATAATACCCCGACACCTTCATTTGTGGATATATGCATTTACATCATACACATTAGTTTCTTTGTTTTGTGCTCACCAAAGGGTGCAGGAAACTTTCAGCGGTTTCTGGACTCTAGATTGCAGACGTTATTGCTTGGATTGCAATGACTGAGCCAGATCTACAGTATCTACATCTCTCAGCCGTTCATCTGCTCTTCCTGTTGGCATGTTCATGTTGCTTCAGTCACAGCAACAGTTTCACAGCTCATTACCGTAGTATATCTAGTCTATGTCTACATCTATATCCATTGTCACACATTTGCAAAATGTGGTCCATGGAGTATGCAAGCTCCTTGATGGAGAAGTTTTGGCCCAGTGTTAAGGCGGGCGGCATCCTCGCACCGGGCAGTGCCAATGCCTTCCAGAATGCCGTTTATCAGGCCAGCTGCAAAGGGTCGCATAAGGGCACTAAAGTGGTGTTTGATCAGAGCAGGATGCAAACAATGCAGGTGGAACGGTCTTTGAACGATGCGAAGAAGCCCGGTCCACAGCCAACAGACCTCGGGCTACTTGAGAGGCCCTTTGCCCAGCTTGGGTAGTTCTGTGTTGTTTTTTTGCTCGCATGGTGGCAGGGATTACTTGGAGAACCCTGCGGACACCTTGAACATAGAGGGCGCAGAAAAGAAGGGAGAACAAGGTGGGCTGATGGCCATGGCCATCACCATCACATGATTTTGTGTGCCCTTGCGTACCTGACGAGGGATTTTGAAGGAGTGTGGTGCAAGAGCGAAACTTGGCCAAAAATTCCAGTAACGCATCTCAACGGTTGGCAACCTCCCTGAGTCTGCATCGAAACATTCAGGAATTGCTTCTCGACCACGTACACCGAAGTTGTGGACAAAGGCTTCCACGACTTGCAACCATGGAGCTTGTGCCTCAGTTTAGGCGCCATGATAGCCCTTCTGGATTCGTGTGGGGTTGTGCCAGTACCGAAGAGCAAGGCCTAGACAGTTTCAAAGGGGTGAGCTGCCAAGGCTTTAAGGGCAAGACTCCAGACAATGCGATGCAGGAGGCAGTGTGTCCAGCTCAAAGAAGACTATGCATACTCTAAGTGCCTCAGCTGTGCGGAACTGTCCAAAGCTTGAAATTGTCACGGGAATGGACTTTTCCGGCAGAGTGTGCCATGGCAGGTGGCAGATGTAATTGCTGAATACCCTCCAGGGCAGAAAGGAATTGACGGAGGAGGCTTCTCTGTCAAGGCGGTGGAGCCTGGATACCTGTGTCTTGGCCGTGCAGGGCGGTTTGCAGCGAAGCAGATATTGCAATAGGATACAATAGGGAAATCTAGTTGGATCCTGCACTTGGAAGCAGTCTTGTGAAGGTGCCGCAAAGAGTTGCCCGAGAACATTTGCTTTATTTACAACCGAGGTATGTTCAGTTTGAAAGCTTGAAAAGGCCCGTGCATTCTCTACTCTATGCAAGACTTTCCCAAAACTACGCTGGTGTGCTAACCAAGTTTTGTCAGTCCATGCAAGGGGTCACCGTGACGATGTAGAATTTGCATCTTGGCCGATTAGTGTGCTACTTGGAAGAACATATGCTACAATATTGACAGCTGTGTGTAGGCATCCATCCGAACACACCTGTTGATGCACAGCGATGTTTCCTCTCCTCCAGCCTTGGATGCTGTTGTGACATGTGGAGGCAGTGATTCCTGGCACCAAAGAGAATGCCCGAGAAGGGCAACTCTATGTCAGAAGTGCCAGTCGACAGGCTTGGCTACTATTGCCAACTTAGTCCATGCACAGTTTCTGTGGGGTTGCAGGGCACCTGGGACTTTGGCGTGAATGCCATCCGCCTCAACAGAATCGCTGAGGACTTTGTGGCTTGCCTTGCTGTCCATGTCGTAGGTTGAGAAGAAGGGCATGAAGAAAGGCCTAGTCCATCTTACGGTGCTGACAGCTGCATGTGGAGGACTTGAAAAAGAAAGGCGGCTGGGACATACGCCCCATTGACCCTCGGTTCAAAAGGATTTGCCACTGACAAATGGCACACCTGGCCAATACTTTAGATTGTAAAACGCATGCCTTCTCTTTGCCAGAAGCTAGCTCATTCAAATGCAGGCTTTTGCAGAGAAGGGTAGAGAGAGAGAGAGTGTGAGACAGAGAGAAAGAGAGAACGAGAGAAAGAGAGAAAGAGAGGAGGAGAGAAAGAGAGGAGGAGAGAAAGAGAGAGGTGGAGACGGAGAGAGTTGCTAGCAGCTGCTAGCACTCGGAAAAGCTGGTAACCGAGGATGCCAAATCGCACCCTCGTTATTGGAGTCTAGGGCCTAGTCTTCCTTGGCAGAGTCCCTACCAGGCTTTGCGATTTATCTATGGAACTTGTGTCGCCCTTTTGATCTTGCGCCTGAGGTCAGAACTGCTACGCGGGGGATATTGGCCGGAAAGCTCCGATTGTCGTTCGGAAGGCGTTGCCTGTCTGTGAATTTACTGTACATTAAGAAACGATAAAACAACAATACTGTATATATATATATATATTCATTTGAGTTACTAATAGCGATGGCCTCCAACCTATTAGCGATGGCCTCCAATCTATTGGTGATGGCCTCCAACCTATTAGCCATGGCCTCCAGCCATGGCCTCCAACCTAATAGCGAGTTTCCAAAAAAGGCCGGAGGAGTCCGTGAATCATAAACCGTGAGCCAAGGTTTCCAGAGTACTGTACAGGGTATCCTCCTCAACAGTGACAGAGTGCCCGCCCTAGCTCTGTACAGTGCAATAGCTTGATGTTCCGCTCGGAATCCCTGGCTACCCCTTGCGCGTGGTGGTCCCACACTTTGGCACACAGCCTGCGTTCGCAGTCCTCCACCGGCACAATTTGAACTGGAAATGGATGGCAACAATGGCTGCTGTGGGCAGCACGTGGAGGTTGCTTGCCAAGTATGCTTGAATAGTTCTCACACATGGCGCTGACATGTGTGTACAAAAGAGTCCCGGCACTGGCACTGTCCATACACTTTGCATTCAACCAGCCTCCCATGTACTCGAGATAATGCAAGCAAATGCAAGCATGAAGTGAAGTGTGCAATGTGGTTCAAGACGTATTTTGGATATTGACTGGGCGTGGTAACAAACAATATGACATCACCCCAGGTATTTCTGCAAATTTCAACGCTTCAAATGAGCTCCTAGTCAAGCGGCAACCCAATTGTATATCTACTACTGTAACCGTTTGCTAATGACCGGACAAATGGTTTTGCAAGCACTAGCACGAGTGCCAAACAATTCAATAGCGTAAGAACTTGGACAAGTCTGATACAGAGAGAGAGAGAGAGCTGATAGCTGACTGTGACTATTCAACAGGTTGACAGCTTTCAACGACTATGTTCTGGTGAGCTACTGCCAAAGTTGTGCAAGCCCAAACTCTTGACAATTGGGCGATGGCAGCGATAAGCTGCAGAATTGGCTGCCATGTTCGAGATCTTCAACCCTAAGTACTTCTGCTTGGGGGGTGCAGAAGATACTTCAGATGAGCTGGATCTAACTGAGGGTGCCCTAAGGCACGAACACGAACAGATGAACAGCTCTCCACGTTGCAACTTTCTAGCTGAATGTGTCAGGTCAACTGCATCTGCCGGGCCAAGTGGACAAGAGCGAGACCAGAGCGTGGATTCTACAAGCAGTTGGCTTGGCCAGTTAAGATAATCAGCAACCCTGTCGTTTTGTTGCATGCTCATTGCCAGCCGTAGATAGATTCTCAGAGAAAGAGAGTGGTGCGAACTAAGAACGGAGTGGATCACTCCGTGCAACGCAGACGAAGCCAAGGTATTGAAGATGCAAAGGAAGGAACTCCAGGATTCCACTTAGCTGCTTGCCAGCGCCTAGGGTTGGTTTGCAAGGTTGCACAGCTTTTTGGAGGTTAGGGTGATGTTTTTCGCACCGACATGCCCGGTGTCAGATAAACCTACGGCGACTCACGCGTCTTCGGTCAAGCAGCACACTTGAGAAATTTGATGAAGAAGGAACTGACCGGCTAAAGCACCCGATGCATTTGCGGCGGGCTTGCACCGACGCACCTTGCCTTGAAGAACTTGCACTTGGGACCTGCTTGTTGGACCACCGACTGAACTTTCACGGGGGTGTGCCGAGGTAGTATGGTTGGGTTGCTTTTTTGCTTGCACTGCAGCTCTGGCGACCTTAAGCTTTGGAGTCAGGAGAGCTGGTCGGGGAAGAGTGAAGCCCGGTTTTAGGTAATTATAAGTGTCAAGGCCTTATGTGGGTGTGGCCACAGGGACTAGGAAATCGGTGATTCAAATCAGACATTCTCATCATTGAAAGCTTGCAAGAAACGGGGCAGCAACCGTAGCCACGACTCATGATTCTTCTGACCTCAAGTGACAGAGAAGGCTGGTGCATCATGCAGCCATGGTGATAGCCACCGCAGAGATGTGTCTTAACATTTTGTTACCTGGCTATCTCAACCTTTTTTGATACAACATTGGACCGACTGGCACTGGCACGCGCCTTTCCCGTTCACCATGGTTAAGGCTTCCGGTAATTAACTGTCCACATTCAGACCAAGCATCACAACTTCGGCATTTTGAGCCAACGCAGTCATTTTCTGTGAACCCCTATATACTATGTAACAGCTATCCACTACTTGTACATGTCTATCTATTTAGCTACGGTTCACTAAGGCATGTAAAACACATGCTTCAACCGTCGCTCTTGGCTCAAGAAAACAATCGCATCCGCGTGCGTTTTCTTAGGGTGCCGTGTTGGTTGGGCAGTGTCCGACCGCACATTCGCGTTCGCTCTGCACTCGCTTCGCTCGTTCGTTCGTTGCACGCCACTTCGTTCGTTCGGCAACCCTCATTGTCCACCACGGGTTCTCGTCCTTCCGACTCGCCCCGAGTGGTCATTAACATAGACCGTGCATCCAGGGATTTGGCATACTTCTTCTATCACTTACCTGTTGAAAGGATTGCCTGGGCGTTCCCATACGTCCCACCTGGATTGTACACTCAATTGGTTATCAGCCGTAGCCGTGAGCTACAGGCAACATCACTCGACCCCGTTGAGCGGTCCATCGCGGCACGCTTTTCGTACCTTCACAGACCACCAATGGGCCGAGTCAATCCCCAGCCGCAAGCACCCGGCGCCGCAGCATCATCGGCTGCAGCACCAGCCACGGCGCCTGCTGGGGACCCTCAGGATCAAGAAGCACCTGCTTCCCCTGAGGGAGTGGTCGGAACCGCGCCTAGCGCGGAGACCACGGACCAAGAGTTCGGGGAGGCATCCGTGCCAGAGCCACCCCTTACTCCCCGTGTCGCCTCAGGCATTTCGTCCTCACAGCCTACATTCACGCCTCCAGGTTCAGAAACCGCAGGGGCGGATGAGGTCGACGATCTTCAGCAAGAAGAGCCTGTCGCAGAGCCGACCGCTGTCGATTTGCCACCCGAAGCCAGCACCCTTGGTGCTCTTAACGACGAAACCCCTCTTATCGAAGCAGAGCTCCAGACCGGAACCGCTGCCTCGCGCGGAGAGGTCTCGTCTGCTCAGGACGATTCGTTAGGCCCCCATAACGCCGAGGAACCGCCCTTCGATGCCTTCTCTTTGTTAGGCCCACCTAAGATAGAGCCCACCACTAAGGAAGAAGTAGAGGAGGACGTGTATGCCGATCCCTCAACCTCTCCCGTGGGCCTACCCCCACTGCATACTCACAATCATCCAACGCAGTTTGAGTCACTGGCCACTGACCCGGTCTTTGACGAAGCGGAGGTTGATTTTGGTGATGAGGAACCTGACGTCGATCCTGACGATCAGGCGGAACCCACCGCCAAGCAAGAGCAGCAGGAGGTGGACGTGGCTGACGAAGAAACCGCGCCCAGCGCGGAGGCATCACAGACTGCTTCAGCGGCCGTTGACCCTCAACCCAAGAGTACGCGCGGTGCGAGGGGAGGCCAGATGCACCAATTTGAACAATCGGACAAGAAGTATGCGATCACGTGTGACCTCATTGCAAGTCACTTGGCATCACATACCTATCGTCGAGTCGGCAAGACTTACCACTTGCCGTTCGTGAAACCGCTGTTAGCGGAAAGATTACTCTGAATGGTACAAATACGTCGTCTTTCATGCCGACTCATGGGCTGAGTCCCCCGACGAAGGTGACATCTCCGACGGGGCTCTCAAGGCTTGGGCAGCGATCATACCAGAATTTTGGTCTTGGTGCACACGTAATATGCCTGAGATATCGAATGGTGTTAAGCAACCCACCTATCGATTCCCGCCCGGGTACTATCAGAAAACCTATAAATTCATCCCACTCCGGCAAGTCCGTTCCTCAGCGGCGACGTCATCGCAGGCGCCACCGCCAGCTCAACAAGCCTTTCCGGTAACGGTTCCGGCGCGCACATTCCAGCCCGTTGTGGGCGCAAGCGCTGCCAGTTCGTCAGGAGGCTGGAGGCCGCAGCTGAGGCCTGTTGAACATCCTGTGCAACCCCGATCCCAAACTCCACAGGGTAATCCGAGATCTAGGTCCAAACCCGGACTCAGAGTCGGTTCGGCCTCCTCGTCCAACTAGGCCGTGCCCGAGGCCTGCACGTGAAACCGCTGAGTCACTCGCGGACACGGAACAGCCAGCACGCACGGTTCATCTTGCCGATAGCTCCGAGCAGGCAGATGATCCCATGGATGGTGTTGGACCAGCGCAGGAGGGAGTGCCTAGTCCTGAAGCCGAGGCCGATCCTGGATATCCAGAAGGAGCGGAGGAGGAGGGCACAGTCCAACCGGACGACCAGGGTGGAACCGCGCTTGCGCGGGAGGAGGAGGAAGCTTTCGAGCCAGATCCGGTGGTCGAGGTTGAAGGCGAGGATTTGGAGACGGTTCGCACTCGTGCAGCCGACACCATAACCCGAGCCGTAAGGTCCGGTCGGTTTAGGCGTGCACTTGCAACTGCAACTCCCCCTAATCCACCACCTTTAGACCCCGAATATCTGAATACTCCTCATAGGCCTCAAGATTTACCACCACATGTTAAACTTCGTAGGCCGCCCCCGACAAAAGCAAGCGCTCGAAGCCTGCCAGTACCTGCACAGCCCCCCAAAGCCGACGCTCCTCAACCGGAGCCTAATCAGCCTAAAGGGGCACAGCAACCGCGTCAGCGCGGATTTGTTAGGCTTCAGCATGCTGCGCGTGAACCACCCGCGCAGCCCATTCCTATGGAAACGGCTCGCGACAGTGTCTACGACCTCCCCGACCATGTGTGGAGGACTCGCCCCACTAGAGAGCCAGGTAATCTCACGGTGCCACAACCTGAATTGTTGGTTCATCCCAACACAGAAGTGCGTGCCATGGACGTTGATGACGATGAGAATCCCCCACCCCCAGTGGCTAAGCCCCAGGCTACCGCCCCGTGGCGGAGGGCACCAACTCACGCCATCGAAGCTGAAGAGGCCCCGGAAGCTCCGGCTCCAAAGCCGCGTGCCCGGGTGAACCCTCCTCCGCCGAAACGCACTCGTGTCGTATTCGCATCAACCTCACGAGTTGTGTTAAGGCCAGGTCCTGGCGCTTCTCAGGAAACCGCGCCCAGCGCGGAGCCGTCGTTCGCGGAGCACACAAGGGGCACCTCGCCCGAAGGGTAGTAGCCGAGTACGACTCTGGTGAACCTCCGGCCCAGTCTCCATCAAGAACTTCGGTAACTGTGACACCACTAGTGGACCCAACTCATCGTACCCCTAATCGTAATTGGGCAGACCAATCGCTCGATGACAACCCGGACGATGAGCCAACAGATTCGGGGGCAGCTCCATCCGGATCCTCAAGATCTAGGACACCGCCGCCAATACCCATGGTGGTTAAACCCCCGCCTCAGTGCATCCGGGAAGACCCGTCTCAGCGTAGACCGCAATACGTTGAATCGGGACGGGTGGAAGAATTCCTGCCTTACGGATTCTTCACAACACCTCCTCCTGGACCCCCAAAACCTCCGCACCGCCGCCCGCGGCTCAGGTGCCGAAACCCAAGCCGATGCCTGAACGACCGCCGCGGTCTTCGAGCCCCGCTCCCGCCACAGTCGCTCAGGACGCAACCGGCAGAGGTAGAGGTCAAGGGTACCCACCACCTCCTGCACCCTCTGAAACCGCGCCCCGCGCGGAGGAGGATCCTGCAGAGGCAGAACCAACTGGTGGCACCTTAGCGCCCCCAACCTTCGGAGACCCTCCGCCTCCGAACCCGCCACAGCAGGACGACGATATGCCACTCCCTCGCAATCGTTACCTCGAGCTGTGGCAAGATGCGAATCACGTCTTCGGTCAACAGATGTGTGACCCAATGACCCCAACGCTACCCGGTCAAGCCCATAACATCGAGGTTGGTCTAGATTTCCATAAGGTTCTAGATGCAATGTTGGTGCATAAGCTTGAAGTCCCCACACGACAGTGTGTTGATGCTCTTGCCAATCTCGAGCGCCTCGGCGCACGAATAACCATCATATCCTTCACGGGACATGAAGGTTACGCAAGAGCGGCCTCCCAAACCGCACACTTTCGTGACTGCGTTCGCGCAGCTGGACTCCAGATGGGAGGGGGGAATCTTTCTTACCAACTCCCGAACTGGGCCGGAAGGCAAAACCCCAATCGTCACCCGATTGGGGATTTGCGCGTACGTCGACGACGATTCTGATATCATCAGTGAGGTACGCCGCACCGGCTGCTACGGCTACCTCTGCGACGCTACGCGCCTTAACCAACCCCATTCGGTTTTGCTAGACTTAGCTAATATGATCCGCTCTTCCGGGATTCACAACTGGAAGCTTGCGCATCCTCGACCTTTGGCGTCCGACCAATTTTCAGGCGAGCCCAACCCACGGGGAGGAGGCCGCCGCCGACCCAAAGCTCGATAGGGCCCTACTTGCCAGTAACCGCTGCTTTGCGCGGTCACTCTTCGTTCGCAGGACCATTAGCTAGGTTGAGCGCAGTGAAACTTCAATCTCAATACCTTCAATTGAACATTAGGTTATGCAAACAATTTTCTTTCAGTGCACTCGTTCTTCACCACGCAACAGCTGCCACAAGGCGCTGAAGTGGTCTGGACTTTTCGTGTAGCGAGAAAATAACTGCACCTGCAGTTGGGTGGGAACCATGGCGAACCATACAGGGTTTTCCCCGCCTGATGATCCCCCAGGTGAACGGTCTAGGTCCTCCCCTGAAGA